AAAAAAAAAAAAAAAAAGCTTGTGCCATTTTCACAGTCTTCAAAGCATCTTCTTATCGGCAACAACTGGCTGGAAACCAGGAGTGGGTGCCTTTCAAAAATGCTCAGGGAGCGGCTACAGCCTCCTCATTGTCATTACCATTTGACCCCAGAGGGGCATTAACAGGACCGTGATCAACTATTTCAAAGCCTAAACCAAAAACAGAAACCACACCCACTGTCATGGAGTTGATTCTGACTCACAGTGACCACCATTAGATTTCCAAGGCAGTAAATCTTTATGGAAGTAGATTGCCCCATCTTCTCTCTGTGGAGCAGCTGGTGGGTTGAACCTCTAACCTTCTGGTTAGCAGTCAAATACCTTAGGCACTGTGCCAGCAGAGAACTTGGCTGCACAATGGACTGGCCCAGGGAGCTTTAAAAACCTGAGGATACACTCCAGACCAATTTCTCGTGGAGTGGCATTAGGCTGAGGGTCACATACCCCTGGTGGTTCCAGTGAGCAGCCAAGGTTGATAATGACAAGAGGACTCATTCCCGGACCGAAGGGTTTTGTACACAGGTGACTTCTGACGGATTTGCCCTACCATAGGCCCCTGCCTTTGTGAACCCAGGTTTTCTGCATGTGGCCTTCAGCAGAAGCCCTACTTTGGGATGCACCCCCAGTCCTGCCCTGCTCAGAAGAGCAGTTCCCTGCTCCCTTTCCCAGGGGCTTTGCGGAGGCCTCGGGCATTTTGGTTTGCTGTGTGATGCCCAGGGTCTGGGGCCTAACTCCTGGTCTGGGCCGAGTGGACCAAATGCAGGCAGTGCTGCGAGGCCTAAAGCTGTTGTCTCCGAGGAAGATTCACTCCTATATATGGTTAACGGGGAGTCTCACTGCTGAGCTAACGTGTGACCTCATCTGTAGACAATCTTGCCCCGTCTGGGGCCCAATTTAGGGAGGGCTCCGCCCTGGACAGAGTGTCCAGTGGGGGCAGAGGGTCTGAGGAGGCAAACTCATGGCATGGAGGCAGGAAAGGACAAGATCATTGGGGCGGGTGAGGGGAGAGGCAGGCGGAAATCTCTCCCCGCCCCACTTGTCTCCTGCTGCATCTTTGAGTGTCCTCACCCACCGATCCTCCTCCGTGCAAATAGTGAAACCCAAGAGGCTCGATTGCTTTGAAAAGTCCCTTTAATACAGCACAAAAAGGCTATGTTTCTCTAGGCAAGCTGTATACAGGTTCTCCAGGAGTAAGGCACACAACGGAATGCCATCCTGAGGGCAGCGCTCGGAGAAGTCCAGGACCTTCTCCACTGACCCTCCGAGCTGGGCCCCCAGGTTCTGTTTGTCTTTTTAGCTGGACACACACGTATTAACAGACATAGACACAGGACAGGGCCACTGCATGGGAGGGGAGGAGCAGCCAGTGCTGATCAACCAGTGAGGCTAGCAACGGAGAGCAATGGCCCCTTTCCCACCTCTGCTGCTAGTCTGTGGGACCACTTGGCGACCTCTCTGAAGGCTGGAACACCTCCCGGACCCCAGAGTTAGTTGTTGCATGGGGCTACGATGTAGTGATATTGGATTAAATATTCGTTTAGAGTAAGTTCAAGTCTATTAATGTTGGAGGGCAGGCTCGAGGGTGCTGGCTGGCAAATCCAAGTTCAAAGAGAATGAGACCCTGAGGCATGGCTCAGATGGCAAAGCTCCAAAGAGGGGTGTGGACAAGTCCACCTCCTGTATCCTCTTCTCACCTTGGGTCCTGCTGATTGGGGGCTCCTCACTGGGCCAAAGAGACCATCTTTGGATCCAGGAGACCACCAAAGCCTGGTAAGTCACAGGCCCCCTTGTCCCCTGGTCCATCCCTGCCTCTCCTATAAAATTAATAATCATAGTAACAAGATAGTCATAAGAAGGTGAGAGAAGATGGATTATGATACCGTGTTTGTTATCCTCAACCCTGGCCCTCATCATAAAGTGAAGGGGCACAAAGAAGGTCATCATTCCCTTTTTCACTGTGTATCTAATAATAGCTTCCCTTAAAAAAATGCAATACTTTCCAAAATACACATACATATAAATACATGACAGGAACATATTAATAAGTCTAAGCACTTGAATAATATGCTGGCGACTTAATATTGATATTTTCATCCAAGGTAAATAGTACAGAAAACAACAATATGGCTTAAAGAATTGCAAGGATTTTTCTTCCTCATCAGAATTATGTACCAACTTTATATATTCTATGTAGACAATATTTCCTTCTTAATGTAGTTCAGTTGCATACTTTTTACAGACCAAAGCATAGTAAAAAAACAAACCAGAATAAAACCAACAACAGGAAAAAGAGAAAAGTTTTCTCACCATAAATATTTTCTTGCAGCTAAACCACAAGGTTTGCAACATACTTCCAGAAATCTTTGTTGGATATTCTATTGCCCTCCTGAAGGCTCTGAAGTCTTAAAAATGCCTCTCTCTCTCTCTCTTTTTTTTTTTCTTTAACCTCAAAAAATCTAGCAATTATATTTTTCTTTTCTTTTTTAAAAAAGGCCCTCAAATATATACAGACAAAAATCACTGTGAAGATTTTTCGGGAGAAGCTAACAAATTCAGTGTTGTGAGAAAAATTGGTAACCATGCAGAAATTTTAACATCTATGAATTTTTTTCAAAATACACACATAGTTTTTTTTTTTTTAAAGGAATCCTGTGTCAAGTATAACTCAAAATAAATACAAATTCACAAGTAGAACTATTGAATACTTCAATGGGGTGAACACCATTCTCTCTCAACTAGATCACTAGATCTACTAACACAAGCGATTGTCCCTTTTAAACATACTGAAACCATAAGCTTTCTTGTCCCCTGGGCTACCAGACCCTCCGAGCACTTAATTCTCACAGCACCTGGCTGGGACAACAGTGGCTTTTGCTGACCACACAGTGTTCCCAAATTCAGCCAGAATGGTGCAGGGTGTGTGTGTGTGTGTGTGGTGGGGGAGAGTGCAAAGGAGCTGTCTCTGCACATATGCCAGTTGGAAAGCCATGGAAATAGTCATGTGGGGTGATATCCCATTTCTTATTGGCCTGTGGAGGCCCTGTCCTCTAGATGTCTGAAGTCTGGGTTTCTGCTGCCTCTCAGTATAGTTGGCCAGCCCCAGGTGCCCTTGGGCCAAGGGTCCTCCTTGGGGCAGGGCCCTAGAAGGGCTGGAGCCAGAAGGTAGGGCCTGGTGCTCACCCACCACTGTGAACATTAACTTTAAAAATGCAGGAAGATGACTGACAGCAACAGGGGGACAGAGTGCTGTGGGCCTGGGCCAAGCCAGGCTCACCTCCATGAAGTGGAGAAATCAGGGAGCAGCTGGGGCAGGGATTCCTACGTGGGTGGTGAGCGTATTCAGTCTGTTGCTGAGCATTCTGTCCGTGGTGGGTGGGTGGGAGGCTGCCATGGGGCTCACACTGAAGCAAACACACCTTCTTTAAGTGCTCAGAGGGCTGCCACCACCCCTTGAAATCTACCCTGCAGCCCCTTGGCTGCAGATACACTCACTCCATCTCTTCCAACCCACTCCCTGGACCCCTGGTTAACACTTCACTGTAACTCTTCACTGTACAATGCATTTTCATTTGAAAACAAAAGGCACTGGGCACCGATGGGTGTCCGTGAGCCAAGGTAAACACTGAATTTCAGGCCTGTTTCTTGGTCTGATGTTTTTTTCCACAGAGGCACAATGTTGGGGCAAAATCAAGTGACCCCGTCCTGACAGCTGGTTCTTTCCCTCTCCCTGGGAGAAAGGAAAGATGATATGACAATAAAAATGGGGCTTCTCATTTGGAGAGAGAGGAGAGTGTGATCCTACCAGCTGGCCAGGACAACGGTCCACCTGACCAATGTTACAGGCCATAAGGCCTCTCTGCTCCCGTGGGAGGTAGGAAGTCGTTGTCCCCATTTACAGAGAGAGGTTCTGTGGCTTGTCTCAGGGTTGCCCCTGTGTGAGGGGCTGGGGAGGCCTGGGTGGTGAGGAAGGGGGAATTTTTCTCCTTCATTTTTGCAGGGGTAGGAGTAGGAGTTGTGTCCACTCTAGACAACAGGCAGGACTGGGGCTACAGAGGGGGGTGAGGGGAGGACTCTGGAATCCCTCAGATGACTTAAGTGACTAAATGACGAGTGATGGTGATGGAATACAGGGTACCTGGGAGGTTTCCCCCAAGGTCCCTATTGAAACTCCAAATGAAGCTCTACAAAGCCTACTCCTAGAGTAGTCTAGGAGATGGTACCAGGCCTGAGTCCTAAAACATCACAACTGAAGCAGGTATCTTTGTTCTCTGGTGTCAGTCTATCAATTAACTAAAGGGGAAACTGAGGCCTGGAGAGGGGAAGCCCTTACCCAAGGTTGCACAGCATGTCTGTGGCGGAGCCAGGATTTGAAGCTAGGTCTCCAAACTCTCAGGTCTGTCCTTCCTGCCCGAGTGGTTTCCACACTGGGCCTACCACCTCTATCAGAAGGAACTCCCAGAGTAGGTGGAAGGGAAGAAGAAGAGATGGGAATGGGGCCGATGAAACCCAAGCATACGAGAAAAGTATCTGGGAGTGGGTGGTGGGAGGTGCTGTCCGATGTGCCACAAGGCACAGCAGACATACCTTAGGACACTGTCCTGACCTTTGGCCATCTGAGTCCACAGGGTGGCGGTGCAATATGCAGGGGCAATACCAGTAACTTCAGAAGGGGTCAGCGCTTGAGGCTAAAAGTGAGCAGGGGCAGAGAGGCCCACCTCTCTGGCAGTTGCTCAAACAAACAGATTGTTAGCTCAGGATAACTGCTGACTTTAACAGGACAGAAAATAAGGCTTTTCACACAGGGCAAAATGGAAGGTTCTGGGTCAGGGGAGGCTGCCTGGCCAGTCTCGGGGAGACTGTCCCCTTCAGGCTTTGGGATTCACAGTAAATTTAGTGCACTTGTGGCCAATACAAGGCTGCTCACCCTAAAGGGTATCTCAAGGAGGAGAGCCTATGGGAGCACCAAGGGCTTCTTGAGGCCCTGTGCATTGATTGGCCTCTTCTCACCTTTGTCCCCTCCACACAGATCCTAGGCCCCCCAGTAAAGAGCCTCAGAGGGCTTGCTTTCTGTGGCCTAGAGGGGCAGCTATGTCAGTAACACTGTTTGTCGACACAAATGAGACAAGACCCCTAGGAGCCCCTTGCCCAGATCTGCAGGCCTGCAAGGTCACCCTCATGCATGTGAAGACACTCAGCAACTTGGAGAAATATGGGGGAGGTGGTGTCTTCTCTGGCTGGCGGAAGGTGGCTGTGGCTGGTGGCTGGGGCTGGGTCATTGCACACGGCGGCAGTAGTAGCCCAGGACTTTGCACTTCTCGCAGAGGTGCTGGGGGTGCTCCTTGCTCTGGTCGGACACATCCAGGCCATCGGGCTTCTCCAGGGGTCTCTGCAGAGGGAACAGAAGGTGAGGGTCCAAAGGATATGGGAAGGAGGCACAGGAAGAAAAGAAACAGAAGCAGGGAGAGTGAAAGGGAGAGTTAGAAAAGACCAGAGAGAGAGAGAGAGAGATACAGAGATAGAGACCCACAGGGAAACAGAGTTAGACAGAAAAGAGAGAAAGAGGTGAGGTAGGTGTGGAAAGAGGGTGGGGAGATGGAGAAAGAGAGAAAGATGTTGGAGGAGGGAAAGAGGTGTGGAGAGGAGGTAGAAAGACAGAGAGAGATACACAGAGAAAAAGGGAGACAGACAGGAGGAAAGACAGACACACAGGGTAGGGTCAGGCAGTCACCAAGATAACCAAACCCCTGCCCAGACCCTCTTGCCTCCTGCCTATGTGCTTGTGTGTACCCTGGAGGCACAGGCTGAAGGGCCCAGGCTGGAGCCAGCACTGTGGGGAGAGGCCTGTCTTATACTGCTCTGGCTGGCTAGAAGCCCCGGGTATAGACACCACTTCACCCTCCCCCAGTGCCCAGAGCCACCACCTGAAGCTCACACAAGCCCAGGATAGAGACAGTACCAAAGACAAGGAAACCAGAATCTGAAAGCGAGGCCCAGAGCAAAGATGTACATTCAGGGAGTCATAAACCCAAACCCACGTCCAGCTCTTAGGGCCCAAGGCTCTTCCCTGGCCACTTGTAACCCCCGTGCTCTGCTCGAGCAGCCTCGGGATTTAAGGAAAGAAGTTTGCCCTGGATAGTGACAGAGCGTGGGGCAAGCTAGCAGAGGCTCAAAGTCAGCAACCAGCATTTTGAGCCCCACCCCTCCATGTCCTGAGGCCTGGCATAGGGCCTTCATGCTTGTTGAATGGAACTTCACTGGGAAATTAAGGCACAGAGCAGGGGGGCAACTTGCAAAGCTCATCATGCCACTTCCTCACCACGTGACCCCAAGGAGCTTTCATTTCCATATCTAAAGTGGGGGCTATTTGCAGCACCTCATTTGCAGGGTATTGGGAGGATTCAGGACAGGGTGCTGATGTTTTGCAAACTGGGCAGCGTTAGGCACACAGGAACACACTTCTGTTAGATACTGATCTTCCCTGCTCCCCTTTTCCTCCCCTCTTGGCCCCCAAAAGCCAGCAAAGAGTTGTTTCCCTGGAAAATTTATGGAGGCTATTAGGCACCCCTCCCAAGCAGCAGTTCCTTGGCTCACAGAGATGCTGCTTCCTTCCAGCCACAGCCGCAGCCCTGGCCCAGACCCCCTGCCTGTAGAAGGGTCCCCTGTGGGGGCTGGGGGAACCCATAGGAAGCTGGTCAGGGCCAGCTGGGAGCCACATGTTGAGGAGAGAGGGCGGGAGCTGCAGGCTGGTATGGAACGTGGGAGATTCAGATGCCAGAGACTATGACCCAAAGACAGCCAGGGAAGGCAGCTGAGGGCCAGTGCCGGCCCCCTGACCCGACTGAACTATTCAAAAGTAACACATTGGCCTTTCTGCCCAAATACACAGCCTGGCCCCAAGTGGACACTCAAGAGCAGTTTGGAGAGTGGGAAAGTCAGAAGGCTCTAGAAGGCGAGGGTGGGGACCAAGGGTGGACAGGGTTTTGATCCAGGGTTCCCATCACAGGTCAAAGAGCCCATCCCTGTGGTTCCAGGCCTACAGCCACACAGGGAAGACCTGTGGAAAAAGGACAGGAGCCTCGGCCTCATCTCAAAGGGTTTTCAGATGACCGGCATCTCTGTCTGACTAAATCGGGAAAAATCCCTGGACTCTATTCCAGCTGAGGAAGAGCAGAGTTTGGCTTTATGTCAGAGCTGGGCTCGAATGTAGGCTCTGCTAACCTCTAAGCTGTGTGACCTTGGCAAGCTCCTTAACCTCCCTGACCCTCCATTTCTATAGCATATCCAGTTGCCATCAAGTTTATTCCAACTCGCAGTGACCCTATGTGTGTCCATAGGACTTTTCTGTGGCTGATTTTTCAGAAGTAGATCACCAGGCTTTTCTTCCAAGGTGACCTAGGGTAGACTTGAAGCACCAACATTTTCAGTTAGTAGCTGAGCATATTAGCTGTTTGCACCACCCAGGGACTCCTCTATGGCATTTAGAGGCTACTGATGTTGTTTATTATTATTAATGGGAAGGGGACACTAGATGTTGGAGGGTCACTAAAATTGAAGCCAGAATCCCAAGCTTAAAGGGCCTAGAAAAATCACCTCACCACGCTCCCAGACTCCCCATGGGGACTGACACCAGCACCCCCAGCTTGGGCTCCAATGCCCCCAGGGCTGTGACCTTCATGCCATTGAGCTAACTGGCTCAGTTTATTGCTTGAATGGTAAGAAAGGCTTCCTGATCTTCAGCTGAAACTTGGGTCCCTGCATTCTCATCCTATGATCCCAGCCATGCAGGGGTCACACAGACCTTCTACTCTGCTCCCGTAGGACCTGGCCTGAAGTTTCCACTGTTGTTGTTGTTGTTGTTATGTGCCGTCGAGTCGGACCCGACTCATACTGCAGACCAAACACAGCCTGGTTTCTGCCTCCGCACCAGCAGACCCTCCCTAGTCCTGTGCTCTAGGTAGAGCCAGAGAGCAAGGCCTGTGGCTACCCTTGCTCCCCAAGGATGGAACTGCCCTCCATGGTTTACACTTTGCCAGCATTCCATCATCTGCCCAACTTCATAATCTCCCTGTGAGGGGTGTAGTACAATCCAAGGCTTGGATGACGAGCTCCAAGTCATTAACAGCCTTGCCTAGGGGCCTGGAGGGGTGGGTGGGATCTGCCTTCCAATTCTCACCCTCACTCTGCACTGCCATCAGCTGGGTCACTGGTGGCCCAGTCCTGGGCCTCAGCCACCTTACAACCAGCGCCCATCCCAGATCTCAGGTTGTCTCTCCCAGCCTGGCCCAGGGTCACTGGCTTTCTGTCCCAAGGGCAGCATCCCCTTTCAATGCTGCTCCCATCCACTGTGTTGGGGGGGTGGGGTGGGCTGCCTCCCTTCACAATCATAGCTCTTCCCCTGGGTATTTGCTAGCCCCTGGTCAGCTCCTCCTCCAGTCTGACGGGGCATCTCCCTTCTGGGCCTTCAGCCCAGGGGCTAGCAGAGAGGCTTGGCAGACCAGGACTGAGGGAGCCTTAGGGACCACCTTTGGCTTGTCCCAAAGGCTACTAAGGACACTCCTCTGCTAGGTGTCCTCTGCAATGTTTCCATATGACACGGTGCCGCTGGAGTCACACAGAGCTTTGCAGGCCAGCTCTGCCATTTGCTGGCTGAGGCTGACTGTTGGGCTAGAACTTTCTCCTCTAGAACCTCAACTTACTCATCTCTCACCTGGGAGGGAGTTCAACACCTCCTCTGTCTTTTTCATAGGTCTTTTTGGTGTGTTTGTGTGTATGTATGTAGTAGAGAGAGAACCAAAGGAGATGACTGCCACACAGAACTATATAACCATAAAGAGCTCTACAAGATGTAGTGACTGCTGTGTGACCTTGGGCAAGTCACTTAAGCTCTCTGTGCTTCAATCTTCTCCTCTGTAAAATGGGGATAGTTAATACAGGCCAAGTGATTATAGCAGTGCCTGGCACATACACACTCAAGGCACTGGCCACTAATTAATATCATTATTATGACGATGATGTACGGATGGAGGGTAGGCCAGGAGCAGGGAACAGCCGAGTCTCTGAGGAAACCCTCCTGCAGCATCCTTGTCATCCCCCCTCCTTGGCTCATCTGAGCTTTCTTCTTCAGGCTGTGCCTCTCCTTGGCCTTGACTCAGTCAGTACCCTTCTCCTCTGTGACTCCAGGCCTAGCTGGCTGGGCCCTGCCACCGGGTGGGTGGGGAGCCAAGGGAAGCTGTTGAGACGATTTCCCTCTGTGGAGAGAAAACACTGAGCAGCTGGGATTGATCATTGAGGGCCCCCCACCCGAGAGAGGCAGAGAAGCCCATTAGTGTTTTCTTCTCGTGGGGGGTAGGGCTGGCAGGGGAGCCACAGCTGGAGCCTGACAGGAAACAGATGTGGTGGGGGAGGGGAGGAGGGAAGGGCTCTTGGGAGATAGATGTGAGCAGGTCAGAGCTCAGGGGGTCAGGGAAAATAAGTTCCCCCTCTCCACCATGGGGACCAGTAGGAGGGGCTCCAAGCACCTCCTCTCAGCTCTTCAAAGTCTCCTGACTGGGGAGTACCCATGTGCTGAGGAGACGGCAGGGACTGAGCTGTGTGTGTGAAGGAAGTGCCTGAGCCCATGAGAAGAGACTGTGGACCTGGGTGGTGGGGGCCCAACGCTGAGCCACTGGCTGTTGCACGACCTGTTTAAGGGCCATCCCTCCCTGGGACTGTCTTTTTGCTGCATATAGTAAGTACTAAACAAACACCAGTGGGCTGAGTGGGAGAGGGTACAGCAGACCCATATGACCTAAAAAGATCCTTCCAGACTGTCTTCTGGGGACTCTGATCCTGAGGGTGGAGACAAGGAAGGGTGGTCAGGTGGGATTCCTGGAGGAGGCTGCACTTGGGCAGAGCACTGCAGGATGGAGGTGGTGAGGCCATTTCCTGCCTGGGGGTGGTGGCCCAAGCCAGGACTGTTTCTGGCATCAATACTCAACCCTCAGAGAGACATGGCTGTGTCTCAGGGTTGGAGGCAGTGGAATTAAGGCTCAGAGTCCTGTCCAAGGAGAGACTGGAATCCTCACTTCCTGGACCTGGGCCTGGAAGCCCAGCACCAGCCTAAAGCATCAGGCTCTTCCTGGAACCACTGACAGCGCCCATGGCACCTAGAGAATCATCCACAATCCTGACTCTGGCCTGAGAGGTCCTGAATGACCTGGCTCCTGCTACCCTCCTGGACCCCTTTCTGCCCCTGCTTCCCTCATTCCCCATACCTGGGCCACACCAGCCTCCTCACTGTTCCTCTGGCCAGTTAAGCTCCCTAGACCTCAGGGCTGCCCTGCTACTACCCCTGTCCTGAACAGCACAGTTCATCCATACTCAAAATGTCACCTTCTCAGAGAGGAC